GGTTATACTCATAATAAAAAACACATGGGGAATCGCCCGCCTTCCGTTGGCAAATAATCAAGAAACCAGGTGAAATGGCCAAACAGAAATTTGGGAGGGCTCATACCAAGTGTTTTGAATGAAAAGCAAAAGGTTACAAGAGCCAGGATTCCAACATTCGAGGATGGTAGCAGACAGCTGGTACCTTCCTATCGCGCCATATTCTCTACCAGCTGTCTGCTACCCTCCTATCGCGCCATACTCTCCTCTCCCGGACGCTGGTAGACGCTGGTGCACGCTGGCAGACGCTAGATCGATACCTATACTTCCCTAGCCCTCGAGACGCTGGTGGACGCTGGTAGACGCTGGCGCACGCTGGTAGACGCTGGTATACGCTAGATCGATATCTATACGTTCCTAATCACCGCGCTAAACAAGGACGTAACCCGCCCTCAACGTCTGCAGTGAAAACGATTATACAAAGCTCTAGTTCTTCCTCTTCAAGATACCTCGACATTGCTATTAAACACGACCTCCTTAGTTCTAGACTGTCTTGTTACTTTGGACTTGTTATTACTGAAAACTAACAAAGTGATTCCTCTCCGCTCATGCTATGGTGTACATATTTGACTCCTATTGGAGGTGATCTGGTCGAAACGTTAGGTCACGAATAAATGGTCCCACACAACCTCGCTGGTACCAAATAAAACATCAAATAAGAATTAATTGTAAATACTGCAAAAAAAACTGAGAGCAACTGTCACCTTGTCGGAAGACGATAGACAACCTTCCATTTAACGTAGGAGCCTCAATTTTGAGGCAGTCACCTTTTGTATGTACAGAGCTGATTCGAGGAATCGCATAAATGTTCTGAGTCGTTAACCTGAAAAATACATGGCAGTGAAAAAAAACTGCAACTACAAATGCGTTACATGAACTCACTCTGGAGATCCACAAATTAATAGAAATACATTGTCGACATAATTCACATCAGAATAATGGCGCATAAAAGAATTCGCATTAGCATAATTTGAAAGTATATAACCGCTCTGAAATTGCTGAACACTGGTAACGAAGCAGCAAGAAGTCTAATAAGAGGTCGACGAACAAAACAATTCCGTGATAACCGTATGGGAGGGGAAATAGGCGGAGACTCAGTGCTTCCATCGCTGATGCGCCTTTGCTTTTATGGTGAGAAAGAGAAGCGCGATATACGTAAATATTCGCTGACTTCCCACTCATCTGTTTGGGTAGCATTCGTTCTTCGCAATGACGCGCGTTTACGCGCTACCATTGCATCCGCGCTCCACTGCTATCGACGGGAACGCATCTTTAGACGGATATCGATCGACCCCAGCCGCTAGCGTTTGAAAGAGTGTTTGAGAATAGGAGGGTATCAGCTGGTGAGCGTTAACGTTCTGAGGGTGAGGGTGAAGAATGAGAAAGTACCTAATTGCGTGATCAACGTATGCAATTAAGCCTGCTCTATTGCTACAAACTGCAACTTCCTGAGTTATGAGCGTGATCATACTGTCGCACTATCTGGTACTCTCTCTCCCGTGCTCATTCGAAACATTAGCGACCAGCTGTGGTCGATACCCGTCCACAGCATTGCAATTGCATTCAGGTCGACGCGCTTATCACGAAGTCTGAACACTGTCTGATCACAAGAGCTGATTTTAATGGTACCGCTTCTGGCTCCACCCACCCGACGATCCCAGTGTCAGCAAGCTAGGCGATAAGTGCAATTACTACATTTCATGGCATTCGAGGTCCGAGATTTCTAACTTTTGTAGGACATTGACTTTCTCAACCAATGCCATGATTTAGTCTTTTGGATCCAAATATACACGTCTTTTCCTTTTGTGATCTACTTGTGAATGGCAAAGGTGAATACTGATTCAATTAATAAATTAGAATAGAAATATTTGAACTAGCAACTCACGAAGATCATGAAGAAAACTAAACACGTTGAGACAACTAGTACCCAAAATATCAACGAAGTCCATGTTTTGGATGTAAAAATGCGAATCTGAAATCGTTGAGTCAGCTACGGGATTCAACTTCTCTGTATTAATTTGACCTCAAGGTTAGGTATCCTGATACGGAATGAGTCATAGTACTCAGGCTTGCATTTATATTTGCATTGAGGGGAGTTGAATCAAGAATAAGTAAGTAACCATACAAAGCCTTGTTTTTGTCAAGGATAGCGTTACAAAACCGTCTAAAATAGTAACAAACAGAATAGTTCAAAAAAATTGGGAGTAACGGGGAAGTCTAGTTTGCAGAATATGGATTATTATTCAAGAGACCACGTTGATTGCATGGGAAGAGTCAGACATTGGGCGTCTCTCACTGCTGGCATGCTTCCGTACCGGGCCTTTTTACCATGTTTCTCTGGCCGAATTACCACGAGCTTAGCCTTCAATAATCAGGGGAAGGGTTGGCTATTCAAAGAATAGCCTATCCTTCATGCAGGAATTGGAGAACGATCGTTGAACTAACAATACTCTAACCTACACGACACCCATTGTTGCACAACTAAACATACAAGCAGTGCTATGCTGATACGCATTTTTTGGCACACCCTGTTATGTCCTACTTATATCCTTGGATGCAGTAAGCCTGCTACAAACTCCATATTGAGAGTGCGCAAGCGTGTTGCGCTTCCAGATGTAAATATACTTCATATTCGGACGCTTTCCAAACTCAAGAAAAGGGCAGTGATCCTAACAGAAGGATCCCGCGAGTAATACTTCTTGCACCATGTTCAAATGAAGTATGCAACCACGCCCACCGCGTCTCAGGGATGCGCACATAGTTCTCAGCCTAGTCTTTATATGCACTGCATTGAATTATTATTTTCTGTGATAAAAAATAATGTTCTATACCATTCCATGAATGTGGTCGGACTCCGGCGAATTCTCGACCCTCTTCATCACATATATGAAGATAGATGTTACGAATAACTTCTTCTTCTTCTTCATCATCGTAATCTGAAGAGTAATATAAGCAACAGCCGAACGCGAAGAGTTAGTTAGTTTTTTGGGGGCGTTGGAATGTTATATATATCCCCTTATGTGTCTAGTTAAATCGTGATTATTCAATAATATGTTTAAAGTATAATTGTGAAGAAAAGCGTTATTAAACATAGCTATTAGGTTGTCTCGGTATTAAGTCTCAGTCGTTTTTCTGTTACTCTTTTTGTGCAATTTCTATTGCTGTTGATCAATAATATCTCATTTTTTTCTCCCTGGCGTTCTCAGTCTTAGTATCTTTTCCTAATGAATAATTTCTTTTGCTTATTTTCTGTTGTTGTGTGGGGTTTTACAATTTTTTCGGTTTTTCACCTGTTATTTGTCTTTTTTTTTTTTATCGTTCGTCCGCTCGCGTTTTTGTCAAGAGTTTTTTTCTATGTTATTTGTATTTCTTCTATTCAAATAATGTTAGCTATATATTTTCTTTTCTGAACTATTTTATTGTTCTTTCAACTTTTACAAGTTGTGGTTCATATCCGCTTTAGTCTGAGACAGCTCTGTTCTTCGTGAAGTTATAATTTAACAGGTGGGGGGCCCACTAGTGTTGGGGAAAGCACCGTGCGACAATGAATAGATTCTGGAGATTTCAGCCTTGAAGATGAACCTCGTAGTGGTCGACCTAAAGCAATACCTGGCGAAGATTTGAAGGCATTTGTTTGTTGGGAGGGGTGATCCCGATTTCCCTAGTTATGTTTCTGAGTGTTGAGATTTTGTAGAAAGATGTAGCGTGTCAGAACACTGTCCGAGTTATGTTCTGAAAAGCTTACTGGGAATGTGAAAATAACCTGATCAATTTGGTTTGTCCACAATTTGGAGGTGGTGACCGCAAAAATTGGCGCATCTCGAGGTTTCTTCTTCACTGCTTTTGCACAATAGAAACGACCCGCTTTTGGACCGAATTGTCACGTGTGATGAAAAGGAGTTCACTATGATAACATGGAGGACCTTTTGGACAGTGCCGTGGATGCCGGCGCGACCCTGAGCAATTTCCAAAGGCCGAATCCTCTGACAAAAGGTTCCATATGCTCACACTGTGGTAGTCATCGGATGGTGTGATCCACTATAACTTTTTATCACCAGGCCAAACCATCACAGCAGAACCCTACTGTGAAGAAATCGACGAATTGTACCGAAAATTGTTGTCAGATGCAGCCAACACTTATCAAAAGAAAGGGTTCCGATTTTCTTGTGCATGACAACGTCCCACCTCATCACGTTTCATCAAATTTCACTATCCATTCAAATTGAACGAATTGGGAGTTGAAGTTCTACCTCACCCACCATATTCTCCAGACCTTTCACCAACCGACTATCACCTTTTCAGACATTTTCAGAACTTCCTTGCTGAAAAATACTTCATCAATTAGGACCAGGCAAAAAAAGCCTTCGTGGATTTCGTAGATTCTCGACCACCCAGTTTTTCCTTTGATGGGATTCCTCGACTGGTGTCACATTGGCAAGATTGTGCTGATTCGAACGGTGCTTGTTTTGATTGAATCCGTCGAGTATTAAAAAGTTATGATCGTTCAAAGTGAAACACTCAAAACGCTGAGGACTTTCCGGACAACCTAATAATTCACTGCTTCGTACTTTTTCGAATCATTCTCACCATGCAAACCTTCTGAATAGAGATAAAAAATTAAGCTTAATGTTGTAATAAGGCGAATGTCAAAATGTTTACCAGATACCAAGGATTAAGGATAAATCTGCTGCGCTTCCTTCAAGTGATTCACGTTTTAAATACAATACTGGGTGGAAGACTGGCTCCTCTTCTTGATTAGGCAGAGAATTGTGACAAAAAGGACCCGTCCGCTACAGCATACAGAATAGCTGCTCTTGAGTGTAGATTAAAGGGTTAAAAAAAGAAACCGTGGACAATGTCCACAATTAAGCCCTAGTCGATTTACCAGCTGGCAAGCTTATACATTCATGTCATGCTGGGCATCTAAAGTGAGAGCCAGTAGTTTCTTCATTTAGAGCTGCGACTCTGAACAAGAACAAAACCCAGACACTTTTATTCCCTCAGGTTGGTAGCTATAGTGTCTAGTAAGTAGTAGTACTAGTAGTAGTAGTAGTAGTATTTAAAAGGTTGTTGGTTGTTGAGAATGTTCAGAATAGTAGGTCCGATCAGAATAGCAGACCCAGAAAAGTGTAAAGATCCGCGAATCCTACCAGCCAGGCGAGATGATCAAGGCATCACATCATTAATATATACTGTCATAATTACAGAAAATTCAATGTATTCACCCCAATTTGAATGACAATAAATAAAAAAGTAAATAAATAAAGTCTTCGCCGTTGATCAATCCCTTTGTGGGATGCGGCACGCATTCTACTTCCATTCAGAATCGTAGTGGCTTATTGAATGCGATGTGGCCTATACAATGACTTGCGGGGCCAGCCGATGTACAAGTCAGTGTTTTATCCTCCCAGACGAATCTGGTACCAATTTACCGTCCCCGGAGGGTAGAAGGCTTGGTTGGCCTGGGCGGGTGTCGACCTGGGATTCGAACCCAGGACCGCGCGAGTGGTAAGCGCGCCACTTGTCACTACACCACCTCCTGCTCTTGAATGACAATAGTTTTCAAAGTTCAGCAAAATCATATAACTGTCATCACCTCATGCTAAAAGTCACCAGATGATTGATTGTAAGTGAAATATATCACAGAAATAGGAGATTACCTTCACTATCATCGGCATCATTTCCGCTCTCATCTTGATTTTCAGCATTGCATGTGGTCGCCATTGTAAAGTTGGAGTTATCAGAAATCAGGCTGGCGCAGACAAAAGGCCGTCTTAATGATACTGACACTCAGCCATGTAAACCCACTTATCACCCGGACACTGGAAAGTAGACCTGCGATAAGCGTCGACAAAATTGTCAATGCTGCGACAAATTACATGAAGCGATCTTCTTCAGAGGACCAACTGAGAAAGGGGCATGGAAAGCTATTGTACCTCAGAGTAGCATGTTCTTATATTTGAGGCTGTTAAGTGCACTGAAGAGGGAAAAGTTTATGAGGGCCTTATATCGCTGCCTATGTTACGAAATACCCGAGTCCATGTAGCCCTAAGTGCCCTACGTTACTTCTCGCTCGTCGCGGCGCTTATACTGCATTCCTATGTTATCTGTTGATTGTATTAGGTGCTTACTCCAAACTGTGTTGAGCTGAGTTTTCGGCGTTTTTTTTGTTCTGATGTCTATACACAATTACCTGTGTAATAAATATTAGGTTGTCCGGAAAGTTCTGCACGTTTCGAGTGTTTCACTTTAAACGATCATAACTTTCTTAACACTCATCGGATTTAATCCAAATAAGCACCATTCGAATCAGCACACTTTTGCCAATGTTGCCAAGTTGACAAGCGATT